GCTTGGAAATTTGATGATCACTTCTAAATGAATCATTAATTATCTTTAGATACTGAGTACTTGGAGTAGATAGTGCACCTTCTAAAAACTAGCTTTTCAAGCAAAGGTTTTATGGAATTGGGGAGGAGCGGTAATCTAGGAAGTAAGATCAAAGACTTTGAAATAGGAGGGTTCTCAAAAAGTTTGTGGAAAATGCATATTATGAAAAAATATGCCTGAGTTTCACATTTTTTGGTGGTGGGGGAGAGGGCACCAAAATAAACTTGAAATTTAATTGTATTTTTCTAGGAACTTTTTCAAGTTCCCTTGTAAATCTTCAAAAAATCTGGCATTTAGGCTAGACTAACCAGCTAAACATCAGATTACATTGAAATAAACTGACTGTTGGAAGAATTTTTTTTCTAGTGTTTATTTTTCTTCCATGATTCTTCCATGAATAAGAGACAGAGACAGACAGAGCGACAGAGTACCCCTGATATGGTCCTATGTCCAACCACAGCCTTAGCCAATTCCAGATCATTGGTGTGCACATGATAGGCATACCTAGGGAGGTCTCTGGATAAGACCCTGGAACCTTTCCATGGGGTCAGCCTTGCAGAGCATTGCATTTGACCACTATGCCATTGTCTGGCCCAAATTGTTGACTGTATTGATTAGAAGCCCAAGATTTTCCAAATCAGTTGCTGAAGTCAAAGACTCATTCCTTAGGGAAATCAGTGAGAGAAAGATTCTGTCTCAGTGGCCCTGTATAATATCAGGTGGTCAAAGTACACAAGAGATAGGTCAAGCTTCCATTAGGGAGGGATTCTTTGCTCTTTGCACAAACCTTTTCAGAAAGAAGACCAGGGTGTTTTCCTCGGCCAGCCAAGGCCAGTGCCTCATCCTCAGCCCAGCCTTCCATGGTGTTCTAAAGAAGTGGCAATAAGCTGGTAGGCAGAGGTCTGCACACACTGCCATTTCTCACTTCACAGATAAGGAAACAGGCTCAGCATAGTCTATTGACTCAGAGAAGCCTGAAGCTGGTGCTCTTTCCCAGGATACGCCAGGAGATGTGACTGTGTGAGGAGTGCCCTTTGCCTCCCACTCATTATATTCCAAGTCCACGCAACCTCATTATCTGCCGTGCATAGACTCCTTGGGGGAGAAGTTAAAACAGGTATGTTCCAAACCTTCACTTTTCCCCTAAACTCGATTAGGTTACTTATTTACAAGTTGAAAGGAGGCAGAGGGAAAGGAGAGGGGAGAAGGGCAGCTAGAAAAGTGCTAGAGATTTACTAAAACTCCACCATCCTGGATACAGTGAAATCTTATCTGATCTTGGATGCTGAACAGCTGGTCCTATGTCTGGTTTATGGCCTTGGCTTGTCAGCACTGCGGAAACCATAAAACAGGCAAGTAGAACTCTCCTTCTGTAATAGTCTCCTCAGAAAACAGACCTGATAAAGTAGCTAGGAATCAAAGACCTAGCCCACTGACATGGGGAGCCAAGATCTGAGCCTCTGCGGCTGAGCACAGACCACTTTTGTTTCAAAGCACTGTTGGATCAAGCAACATGGTCTCTCCCAGCTGCTATGGTACTGGTAACTTATAGGCATATGGATTTCCTAGAAGGGAGGAGGGCTGGAGAAGCAAAATGGAGAACAGTCAGCCTGCTCCAGAAGCCACAGCCTCTGTAAACCCTCCTAACTTGGTTTCAACCTTGGGCTTTTCCACTCTAGCCCTTCAAGTGCATGACACCAATGGGGCCTGTAACTATGACAATGGTTTTCCAACAATAACAGCCATTTATCTGAACTGTCTTATCGCTGTTTCTTTTTCTTTTTTTTCCCTAGGAAAATGGAGAAATGGAAGAGGCTGAGCCCACAGAATAACTTAGCCCACAGAGGTAAGCTAGGAGTCAAGAACTATGTGGACCCAAACCAGTGTGAGGTGCTCCCAACCTAAAGAGTTAAGGTAGCAAACCTCTGTATTTTCACTTCTCAAGTTCAAATCTGAAGGCTTTATTTTAATTACAATATTTACTTTTTTTGCAATAAGCAAAGATAGTAAGACAAAAAATATGAAAATTAAGATAAGCAAAGCAAAGAAAAACCTGTACTTCCCATCACTCAGAGAGCCATTTTTAGTAGCTTGGTGTATGCAATATTTTCTATACAACTTTCTGTGCTTTTCAAAAAACACATAAAATGGAATAATATACATCTTGTATTTTTTTTTTTTTAGTGTGCTGCTTCCCGTAACGATAAACTGTGGCTGTCCTTCTAAGTCAATAGATACACATCTTAAATGATCATGTTTATGACTGCATGGTGCTCAGGCATAGGGATTCACCATGTGTAGTTTATCCAGGACCCTATGGTTGGACATGAAAGTTGTGACTAATTTTTGACTGTTAGAGATAAAACTGTGTTTGGGTCAGCCAATGGCATGGTAGCTGGATACCACATAGCCAACTGAATGTTTCAAGTCCTGGGCACAGCTGCTTGAGAAACACACTGGGCACATTTGCAATGTGTGCCCAAAATCTCAAAGAAGAGAAAAAGCATTGTGGCATGACTATCCCCCAGGGAGGGTGGGGTACTTTCTCACTTTCCCTTTCTATCCTGCTCTTTGTCTCTCTTTGGTGAACACACATGCCCTCTGGCAAATTTTTTTTAAAAAAAGAAATAAAACTGTGTTTAACCATGATCATATGATTTTATCTCTTCAAGGGAAGTCTTAAAAAATGGAATTTCTGAGTCAAAGATGCACATATTATTAAGGTTTGGATTCATATTAAGAAAGTGCTATCAATCAATAACGCTTAGCAATGGTGTCTATCTGTTGCTAAGCTCTCACCAGTACCAAACATTAATGGTCTTTTCTTCTGGTTTTGGTCAAACTCTTTTGTAAGAACTTAAGAATGCAAAAATGCTTTCCTTTATTATAATTAATTGTGTACTTACAGGCCCAACATTGTGCTAAATCTGAGAGTCTAAAGAGAGACACATAGTCATCTAGCCCACAGGTTCTCAGGACAAAGAAACTGTGAACACAGTTCACAGTTCCCACTCAGTGTGGGAATACACATTTTTAAGAAGTTTGTATATGAAAGTGGGAGAGGGGACACAAAGTGCATAATAAATATTGTTTCCAAGTCCTAGTTTTGAGATCGTGATATGTATAATATATCTATTCAAATGGCTCCTGTATTGAGTTTCTACCAAATAGGAAAAGCTATGTTAACTAATTATGCAATCTCCTGGTATCTTTACAACTTCCTTCTGAGAGGGGTGTTGTTATGCTCATTTTGAAATTGAGAAAACTGAGGCATAGATTTAACTCACTTGTGCATGGCCATTTATGTCTGGTAAACACCTGAGCCCAAAAGATCCATGGGATTCTGCCTGTGATTAGAAAGAGGGAGTGTGTGGACTCAGATGAGTTTTCAAATGGATTCTTAACTCTTCTAGCAGAGAAAAAAGAAAAACTTAAGTTCACTGAAGAAGCAGTTCTAGTGAATTAGGTTGGAGGAAAAGTAACCCCCATAAACTCATGGGTTTATGAGCTAGCCAGACCTAAGGCTTATCATTCCATTCTAGAGGCTTGCTACTGAAGGAAGAAAAGTAAAATTGTTAACAATAACTACTGGTTTTGGGGCCAGCAAGTGGTGTGGTGGTTAAAGTGCTGGACTCCCACCTGGCTAACCATAGTTTGAGTCCTGGACCTGGAGGCTTTCTCTCTCTTTCTCTCTTTCTCTCTCTCAGTTTCTCTCTCTGGTCAAATTGAAGAAGAAGAATAAATGCATAAAGTTAAATAAATAATTTTTAAAAAAGAATAGCTACTGGTTTTTCTTTCCTTCCTCTTTCTTCATGCCATTAGGGTTTCTCAAACCCTAGTGTGTTTAGAGTTCCGAGACATTCTGCTTTGGAGGGTCACGGTAGGGCCTTGGAATCTAACCATCAAGAGAGAGTGATAGAGGTGGCCTTTAGATCAAGCTTTGAGAATCATGAAGTCTACTGTGCTAAAATACATAATCTTGAGATGAATGGGAGACATCAGCCCCTTTCATACCAGAGTAATCCAAAAGAAAGCCCACAGGCTGTGGGAATTCCACCCTTTGTACCAATGCAGATTTGCTTCATGGCTGGGCCATCATTCCTGGGAATAGCATTGGCCTCCCCAGAGTCCTATCATCCCTGTGATACAGCAGACAATGAAGAACTGCCCCTTTCTCCTTGCCCTGTGGAGATGGAGGATCAGTAACCAATCATGGTGCACTAAGGCCCAAGTGGGGAAAACAGACTATACTTTCCTTGTCAGGAAACCTTCTGGTAGATATTAGCTCACTTATTCTAGTGAAATTTCTATAAGATGGATTTAGCAGATGATAATAATTACCATTATTACTATGAGTAACATCATAAATCACCATTATTGTTACCATCATCATCATCATTATCATTATCATCATCATGATTACCATGATTGAAAATAACATTGATAGAATGGCTCTTTGCCCAGGCATTATTCCATGGACTAGGTATATTATTTTCCTTAATCCTTACCGTATAATTTTGGGGAAGATCCCATTTTACAGATCAGGATATAAACACATAGAGAGGGGAAATAACATGTTTTGGGTCATGCAGCTAATATACAAAGGAGTTAGAATCCCAGTGCAGGCTGTCTTACTGTATTTGGAGTTCCTATGATTTTTATTTAACTGGTGGGGAGGGATAGAGAGGTCACATGACTTAACCAGGGGCATGACACTTGTCAGTGGTATCACTGGATCAATAACCAGGCCTTGCTGACTCCCTTGCCCCCACCTCTTTCTGCCAGACTGCTGTTTCTAGATCATGTTAGAACAGTCTCTGAAAAGGGAAGGCTTCTGTTAATTAGTGAATAAATAGAAAGCAAGTTGTGGTCCTCAGGGGACTCTACACTGTCATATAAGTGTCTGGCATAAGTGGTCAGGAGGCTGAGCTTTCAGAGTTGTGCAGTGATACAGGTGTTAGATGTCATTAATGGCTTCCAGGATAGATCTTGAGGCCTCATTCAAATTGGGTCTCTGTTTGGGGGTTCAATGTCATGCTGATTACCCATTGCTAGTTCTAATGCTCTTTGCTGGTGTGTTGGTGACTGGGCTTGAGGCTGCTAAACTCACTGTGGGCTTCCAGGCTCCCTGGAATATCTCTCATCCATTTAGTTTTCAAAGGCTAGGTGCAGGCCTCCAGATTGCCATAGACAAGGTCAACTCGGAGCCAGAGGACCTTGGAAACTTCAGCTTGGAGTTCACGTATACCAACTCAACCTGCAGTGCCAAGGAATCCCTTGCTATTTTCATCAACCAGGTGCAGAGAGAACACATTTCTGCCCTGTTTGGACCAGCATGCCCAGAAGCAGCAGAGGTAAAGTATATAGCCTTCTAGAGACTTCGACTACATTTCCATTAGAAGGGATCGTCTTAAAGATAATGGTACAGGTTTGAACAGTCTCTTGACAAGGATCACATTATCATCATAATAATAACCATGTAGCTCTTAGTACCATGTTTTTGAGATGTAATCAGACCATGTAATTATAACAGTTAACATTTTCTTTAAAGAAGGCCTTTCAAATCAGTAATTGTTAGTTCACTTCCTCTCTTTTTCCTCTTGTTGATTGTTTGAACATGGTGCTGTTGTGTATAAATTCTTATTATTCACTCATGTTGTCAGCCACATGGCTCTAACAAAATAAGAAGAAAACAAATGCTTGGTTTTAAATAGAAAACTATCAATTGTTTGAGTACATTTTCCTTTGGTGTGCATAATGCATTATTCAGTGATGCTGAAAGAAAAGAAGAAAGAATAAAATACGACAGGTTACATTGAACCAGAACAAGAAAATGAGGAAAAGAATGACTTGTATGTGTTTGGTTAACGGATTAGCTTTGTCGATATCCTGGGTACTACGCATTTGAGAGGTATTGATGGCAACTGCAAACAGGAAGGAGCATGAGCAGTCTCCCCAAAATACTGGAGAACTGTCATTAATTGGTGTTAGAAAATTAAGTTCATGCCTCTCCTGGAATTCCCCCTTGGAGTTCCCCATTTACACATGCCTAGCTATGTAAAGCTTGCCATTTCTTAAAAGTTAACCTCAGAATCCATAAAACATTTTTTGTAATCCCTCCCACCTTCTATATCCCTAACCCCCATCAGAAGTGATTGTTTGCTTTCCTAAGTCCCCACAAATCGACCGTATATACATTTTGAAGGGTAGGTTTAACTACAGAGCTCATTTTTATGTATCTTAGTTCTGTAATGGACCACAAGCTCCTTTGAGAACAAGGTCTCCAAATTTTCTTGTAAATAGTAGACTTTCTTAGATGAGAAATGAACAAGGAACAAATTAACAAAGAAAGAATGAGTAGCTGTGTGATTGGAACTGCCTGAGTTCCAATCCTAATCTACTATTTGTCTGTTATGTAACTTATATTTCTGAGTCTCCACATTTTTATCTTTCAAATGAGGTAATGGTAATATCTCATATAAGTGTACAAATTGACATGATATATACATGCTCTTAGAGTACTTGGCATATAGTAAATGCTCAATAAATGCTTGCTTTTGTTATCTTCACTCTTTGAGATATTGCATCCCCAAGCTGGATCCAAGACATTATCAATATTTCAAAAAAAGAGGATCTAGTATGACCTATAGACTTGCAGATTTGAGTTTTATACAGATACTTTACAATGGGTTTTGAATGTACCCTGAACTTGATTATAGGAAGAAACTCTTTTCATTTCTTTCCAGATTATTGGTTTGCTGGCCTCTCAGTGGAACATCCCCATGTTTGATTTTGTTGGACAAAGGGAAAAACTGGGGAATAACTTCTTATATGACACGTGTGTGAGACTTGTGCCATCCAAGCAGGAAATTGGAGAGGTACTCCAGAAAAGTCTTCAGTATCTGGACTGGAAACATGTTGGGATGTTTGGAGGCTCCTCCGGGGCTTCCTCTTGGGACACTGTGGATGAGTTGTGGAGGGCTGTAGAAAATGAACTCAAATCCCATGTCACCATCACTGCCAGCATGAGATACACCAACAATAATCCAGTTCTCCTTCGAGAAAATCTTAGAAGTGTGTCATCAATTGCCAGGGGTAAGTAGGAAAGCATCTTCTCTTATTTATGTTTGAACAGATGACTAGGAAAATAAGATTGCTTAAAAAAAATATAAGAACTCTTTATTTTTCTGTGGGTATAAAAAGCAGATTGAAACAGAGTCCAAAATTAATGATACATTAAAGTAAATTCTTCCTTGTTTGACATCACTACAAAAAATTGTTTTTTGTCTAAATCAAAATCCTAGATGCCATTGTGTTATGATGCATAGAGTAAGTTCTGGAGACATCTTCCAGGTAGGTTGGGTTTTGGACTTTGGTACTTGCTCAGAGCCTATGGAGACAGATCTAGGGTTGAGTCTAGCCCCTGACACTTTTTAGCTATGTGCTCCTGGAAAATCACGTTAACCTCTCCGTGTTTCAGATACCTTATTTATAAAACAGAGACAATCATCCTATCTATGTAATAGAAAGATGAGGGTTGAATAAGGTTATGTCCAAAGGCCAAGGTGTATACTGCCAAGTCTGGACAAATAGTGGCCAACATGTGACAGCAATCACTTTTATGGTGGTATTTCTGAAGCTCTATTTTCTACATAAATATGTAACTGACTTTCTGTTCTTCAGCTAAACTAAACTTTGGCTTTCTGACTTTGGGACTGGCCTAATCCTTTCTTCTGGAGTATCATTAACAGCCACACCCCAACCACCCAGCATGTTCTCTGTGGGTAGCTTCCTCTCATCCAAACTCAGTGCAAAGGCCACCACCTCGGAAAGGCCTCTTCTGATTATCTGATGCAGAATCATTCCCCCTCTGCACATTAGTATCACAGCATCCTTTTCCTCCCTAGCTAACTAGAGTATTGACTGGTCTCTATAATTCGAGCACCTGTATACAGTTTTGTTTGTCTGACTGTGACTCTCTGAGGGCAGGGACGTTTCTGCCGTGGTTGTTGCTGCATTCTGTGTCTTCAGTAGTGCCTGGCACATGGATGATGTCTGGTAAATAGATGATAATTTGCCTAATTTAAAAACAAGTCACTGCTTCACTGTGTGTCCTCAAAATAAATGATAACATGTGATTAAATAGAAGAAAAGTATCATGGCCTGTTTTATTCCCCAGCCCAACTCAGAAAGTCTGAATGCCTTTGATTTTAGGTCCTCTGTGAACTCCAACTGTCACTGTGACTGATGAGTTTCAAGCCATTTTTGAGTCAATTAAACAAAAGAAACAAATGCACAGAAGTGATCTTGGGGTTTTTCAACTTGTATGTTGGGGATAGCTTCAGCAGACTTTAGTTCCATAGGACAGGAGCTGCCAAGGTTATATATTGCAGGCTTGGTTCAAGAAGTACATACTCTATAATAATTTAGGCATTCTTATTTCTTTCTTCTCTTTCTCCTCTTCCTCTTCCTTGTCCTTCTTCTTCTTCTTCTTTTTTTTTTTTTTGTTGTTGTTTGTTTATTTTTGTTTGCTATAGGGTGTGTGCATTTGCTGGAGAGGGAGAGAGAAATTACTCCCCAGAGGGGATGGCCATGCCTCAATCCCTTCCCCTCTCTTCTCCTCTTGGGATTTTGAACATGCAATCTACATGTTTGGTATGATTTTATCACTGTCAGGTCTGGGGCTTAAACTGCACAGTCAGCCATGTGGAATCCAGCCACCTCAACCTCCATACCATGTTCTAGCCCAGACATTCCTATTTCTTAAAGCATTGTCAAGGAAAGAAAAAGTTTATGTCTCAGTTGGAGTGGCTTTAGGCTAGACTTTTAAAAGAGAGAGAGAGATGGAGACAGAGAAAGAATGTGTATGTGTCTGTGCACAAGCACACAATCACATGCAATTTACTGACTATTTTTCCTATTTACAGTTATCATCTTAATCTGTAGCTCAGAGGATGCAAAAATCATTCTGTTGGCTGCAGAGAACCTGGGACTCAACACTGGAGAATTTGTCTTCATCATTTTGCAACAATTGGAGGTGAGTGTGGATGACCACTCAATGGTTCTGATAGTAAGAGATACTGAGTATGGAGCATTTGTTATGTACTGGGTGGACAGCTCACTAAACACTCACTACAGCCCTCTGATGTGTGTCCTCATCTTAAAACTAGGAAGCTGAGCTGGAAGAACATCCCCAGAGGACTTTTGCACAGCCAGTAAGACTGAGCCAAGCCTTGAACCAGGTTAGCTGGGTCCAGAGCCTGCCTCTGTACTCTATTTCAGCAAATGGCAGCTAAGGAAGAACTGTCATTCCTCAAAGGATGCTCAAACACCGGTGGCTCTCACTTCTTTTCTTCCACAGCCATCTGCCTGTGTCCCTGTTTGTTGTTGTTTGTTTATTTTTGTTTGCTATAGGGTGTGTGCATTTGCTGGAGAGGGAGAGAGAAATTACTCCCCAGAGGGGATGGCCATGCCTCAATCCCTTCCCCTCTCTTCTCCTCTTGGGATTTTGAACATGCAATCTACATGTTTGGTATGATTTTATCACTGTCAGGTCTGGGGCTTAAACTGCACAGTCAGCCATGTGGAATCCAGCCACCTCAACCTCCATACCATGTTCTAGCCCAGACATTCCTATTTCTTAAAGCATTGTCAAGGAAAGAAAAAGTTTATGTCTCAGTTGGAGTGGCTTTAGGCTAGACTTTTAAAAGAGAGAGAGAGATGGAGACAGAGAAAGAATGTGTATGTGTCTGTGCACAAGCACACAATCACATGCAATTTACTGACTATTTTTCCTATTTACAGTTATCATCTTAATCTGTAGCTCAGAGGATGCAAAAATCATTCTGTTGGCTGCAGAGAACCTGGGACTCAACACTGGAGAATTTGTCTTCATCATTTTGCAACAATTGGAGGTGAGTGTGGATGACCACTCAATGGTTCTGATAGTAAGAGATACTGAGTATGGAGCATTTGTTATGTACTGGGTGGACAGCTCACTAAACACTCACTACAGCCCTCTGATGTGTGTCCTCATCTTAAAACTAGGAAGCTGAGCTGGAAGAACATCCCCAGAGGACTTTTGCACAGCCAGTAAGACTGAGCCAAGCCTTGAACCAGGTTAGCTGGGTCCAGAGCCTGCCTCTGTACTCTATTTCAGCAAATGGCAGCTAAGGAAGAACTGTCATTCCTCAAAGGATGCTCAAACACCGGTGGCTCTCACTTCTTTTCTTCCACAGCCATCTGCCTGTGTCCCTGTTGAAGCAATAACAAAGGCCTGGAGAGACCAGCCTGTGGGTTCAACATGGCAATTCTCAGGCTCTTTGGTTCTTTTGGTGATGATGAAAATGACTAAATGCCATGTTAGAGTACTGAGTTAGAGTACTGAGCTACGCAGTCTCCATGCATTTTTGCACTTGATATTCCCAAAAGTCCTGCGAGGCAAATACAGCATGTATTATTTACATGCCTTGTTACACTGGATATTTCCAACACCCTTGGAAAGTACATATCATTAGCATCAAGACTTGAAGAGAAAAGATGAGTCTTAGAAAAGTCAAGTATGTCACCTAAGATCTCAGACTCTAGGACTGAGCCCTTCACTATCATTCCCCCCACCCCCAACACACACACACACCATAGCTCTGCATCAGGGAGTGCTTAGTGTGGAGTCGGGGCCCCAGTGAGTGCTTGATCTATTAAAACTCTTTTCAGCATACAACCACCCTATAAGGGAGGTCCTTTTATTATCCCCATTTTGTAGAAGAGGAAACTGACACCCTGAGAGGTGAAATAGCCTGCGTACTGCCATACAACTGGTGTGAGGGAGAGTTAGCATTCAAACCCAGGTGGGCTGGCCTTGGGTACATGTAACCATCATGGGGTACTTTATACCAGCCAGCATCTAAAAAGCTATATGCCTTTAGCTATGGACACGCTATAATTTTTCCAGCAGTTTTATCTTTCCAAGAGAATTTGCTTTATACACTTATAGGGTAAAAGGAAGGAAAGGAGGTATGTAATAATGTCCAGGATTTCTATTTTTCTATGAAGTATTTTGGATCACCAAACTATCTCAGGTTTCTAGATAGCTGGAATTTTAAATGCCAGCCAGACGTTCAAAAGCATTCACATCTTTTCTTTTTCATTATTGCCCATCCTCTTTCACTCTTCCCCTTGCCTCTGCCTTCAGACAGATGAGGAGTGAGAGGACGGGCCAAGTCTCAGCATGGGCAGGGAAGCCCTTCCTCTTGCTTTCTTCCAAAAACCTGATGATTCAATTCCAACTGGTTTGTAGTGGCCAAGAGAGTAGGTTCATGCAATTGGATTCATGCTTCTTTAAGAAAGAATGAGATAAATCCATAAAAGTATTCTCAATAGAAGTGTAGGTGGGAAAAAAGCTTCAGAACAACAGTATAATGTGATAACATTTATATTAAACATACATGCTCACATGCAGACATAACACACACACACACACACACACACACATCTCTGTTCATTGCCTATGCTGTTTAAATACCTCTCTGTGGGACAAATGGGAGCAATTGGGAAATTGGGAAGCATGCTTCTGTCCTTCATACCTTCATATAAACATATATGTAATGAGTGGGAGCATACTATTGATAATAGTAATCATACAGATAATAATAACAGCATCCTTAAGCCATAAGCAGAAACTTGAGAATCAACAGTTTTAAGCTTTTCAAGGTTTTGGATTCATTGTTAGGATGTAGGCTTTCTGCATTTTAACTGCTTGATACCCAAGGCACATTTTAATTTTTTATTTTAATTTATTTAGTTTCTTTTCCACTTATATGCTAGTTAAAAAACATGGAATGTAGTCTTTGCAATGGCAAGCCTTCTGGAATCATTGTGTTTTTAAGGATTAGAATGTAGTGATTCAAATTTATGTTAAATTTAACTGCAGTTCCTGTGCCCAGTTTATTTATTTCCTACAGAATGGCAACATTTATTTCATTATTTTTTAGGACAGTTTTTGGAAGGAAGTATTGACAAATCAGAAGGTGGCATCCTTCTCAAAAGTCTATGAGTCAGTGTTTCTCATCGCCCTCAGCTCCTACAGAGAAGGACCCAGACATGAAGGCTTCCAGAAACAAGTCTACCAAAGGCTGAGGAGGCCACCATTCCACAGCCCTATCTCTTCAGAGGAGCAGGTCTGGTGCAGGGTATCCCCACACAAGGCCTCCATCTCCCCTTCTCTGATTGTATGTATGTTTGATGTTTGCATTTATCCCTATTTCCCTTCCTCTGCTGCTATTACACACATACACACACACACACACACACATGCACACACACACACACACTCTACACATATACTTCCCTATTTGCCACAGCCCAAAATAAACAGTGGTTTGATACTCTCTTGTGAAATCTATACTCCAAGACAACAGAGGGAAACAGAGGTTACCAGATGAAAGGTCATTGGCTTTTGGAGTCAGCCTGGGCTCCCATCCTACTGCTGCTATGTACTAACCATGGGACCTTGGGGTGAATTGCTTAGCCTTCCTACATCTTGGTTTCTTCATTTGTAAAATGGGACTGTGGCGGCTACCTCTCAGGCTGTGATTTTGTGTATTTAATAGCACAGTGCATGAAGGTAGTAGAACAGACACCAACAGATGCTCAGACTGTGATAATTTCTTTTCCCAGGAGGATGCCAGACTGTGAAGCTAGGACAGGTTAAGGCTAGCAGGTGCACTGGAACAGGAAGAAGATAATAAGGAGAGAGATGATCAGCCAGTGGCAATCAGAGTATGTGTGGGATACTGAGGCAAAGCATCTGGGTCCACAAAGTATTTTTTATAGATAGACCCTTGACCAGAGCTGGAGGTGCTTCCAGTTTGGGCCAAGCTGAGCCCTACAGGCCATTAAGACAGAAGGTTTGATTAGGAATGAGGGATTTAACGTGGATCCCAACACACAAGACAGGATGATCAGTCAACAAATATTTGGGAGCAATCTACTAAGTGTCAGCTCTGTGGTAGGTGCTTTAGAAGAACAATGCGGTACCTGGCACTTAGTAAGGACTTGTATTTTCACTCATTATATGAAAAGAACACAAGGGATCAGCAGATGGTGTAATGGTTACATTGCTGGACTTACACATAGTTGGCTGCAATTCAAATCCTGGACCCGGTGGCTTAAAGCTCACACCAGATGTGTGTGTGTGTGCATGCCCAAAATTCTGAAAGGAGAATGGAGGGGAAGCAATTTAGGTGTGACTATCGCTCCTGGAGGGTGATTTCTCACTTTCTGTCTCTCTGTTTCTCTGGTGAATGCATGTGTCTGATAGCAAAAAATAAATAAATAAACCTCTCTCTCTCTCTCTCTTATTTTCCTTCTTTCTTTCTTTCTTTTTCTTTCTTTCTTTCTTTCTTTCTTTCTTTCTTTCTTTCTTTCTTTCTTTCTTTCTTTCTTTCTTTCTTTCTTTCTTTCTTTCGAGGTTTTTGCTATAGTGCATGTGTGCTCGCCAGAAAGTCAGAGAAACAGAGACAAAAAGCAAAACATCAACCCCCCCGGGGGGGATGGTCATGCTGCAATCCCTTCTCCTCCATTCTCCTCTCAGGATCTTGAGCATGCACACACATGCGCCCGGTGTGAGTTTAAGCCACTGGGTCCGGGACTCAAACCACAGTCAACTACATGGGATTCCAGAGACATAGCCATTATGCCAACTGCTGGTCTCTTTAACTATTTTCATACTACTGTCTTAGTCTGTTTCGTGCTGAGACTGGGTACTTAATTTTTTTTTATTGCCAGAGGGCATGTGCACTAATAAGATGGAGAGAGAGAGAGAGAAAGCAACCCTTGATGGGGCATGGTCGCATCACAGTCCTTCTCCATTTTTCCATCCCATCTGGATTTCGGGCACACATATGCATGCAGCTGGCATGTTTTTCAAGCAACCTGGATCAATATCTGAACTATAGTTAGCCATGTAGGGTCCATTTCCCTTAATCATAGCACTATGGGGTGACCTGATACTGAGTAACTTATAAGGAACAGAAATTTATTTGACTCACAGTTCTGGGGACTTCAACATGAAGATCAAGGGGTTACATCTGGTGACGGGCTTCTTTCTTTGTCTTAACATGGCAGAAGGCATCTCATGAAAAAAGAATAGACATGGAAGAAGTAAAGAGGCCAAATTCACACTTTTATCAGGAAACCACTTCCAAGATAACTAACCCACTCTCAAGATAAGAGCATTAATCCATCCATAAAGGCAGAACTCTCATGACCTAATCACCTCTTAAAAATCTCACCACTCAACACTGTTACATTGGAGATTATGTTTCCAGCACATGAAATTGGGAGGGGAGGCACAGTCAAACCATAGCACTTTCCATAATAATGGTTTTATCTTTATTCTATAAATGTGTGAGCTGCGATTCAGAGAGGTTATAGAACTTACCCTGGGTCTCACAGCCAATAAGTGGCAGAATCAGCCCGGCTCCAAAATCGATCCTCTTCCACTTATACCATACACCCTCCCCCAGCCACAAGAAATGTTCCTGTCATGAGGGCCATGAGCGCTATAATAACTGAGAAAATGAGGCATTAACAGAAGTGAAGATTGAGCTGTGTGCGTGCAATAGCACGGGTCCACTGCTCTCGGTTGGATAAAGAGCATGTGCTATGTTCTGCTTCTATGAGGATGGAGAGCCATCCCTCCTAACTAGTGATGGCCAGGGACTCAGGAAGCTGTGGGCCTCTGTAAACCCTGCCTTTGTCTCTCTCATCAAAGGTGAGCCCTTACTCTGCCTACCTCCATGATGCAGCCCTGCTTTACGCGAGGACTGTGAAGGAGATGATAAAAGCTGGAAGAGATTTTCGGGATGGGCAGCTACTGGTCAGTGCACTGAAAGGTCCCAATCAGACCACAATGCAGGGTAAGTGACTCTTGGCTGCTGGCTGTTTTTATTTTATTTATTTATTTATTTTCTTAACTCAGGCCTACCACCACAGCCATGGAGGCTTTGAGATATTGAGCATATGATTTAGGGCCTCTTTTAGGGTCTCACACTGAATTGCAGAATTCACGTTGCTCGTGGAGAGTCCAGTTTTCTGTAAGGACAGTGGAGGTATAATTTCTAGTCTGCTCAGTTTGCTCTGCCCAGAAAGCTACCCAGACCAGATACAGACCTTGGGGTGCCTCATCCTCTTCCCCTCCCACAGCTCCTTTCAACCAGAATCCATCCACAATAGAAATAAAGAAGTGAAACCTGCTCCCTAGAGCTACAACCACAATCTTTCCCATGATCATCCTTCATATGGTGGAGCTGGCATAACCCACCACTCAGCAGCCTCTAGAGAGCGATCTGACCTCATTTTTACTTCATTGCAGGGGTGAGTGTAGGCTTGGAAACAAGCTACTTTGAGATCATCCTCAAAGCTGACCAGGTGCTTTAATCTGTCTGTGTTCCAGTTTTCTCACCTGGAAGGCAGACATAATACCTGCTACCACATAGAATGGTCATGACCTGCATTTATGGAGAGCTTTCTTTATACCACATCATGCACCAAGGGGTTCCATGTGTTACCCCATTTAATCCTCACGCAGCCCATTGGCAGGCATTATTACTACCTGTATTACACAATCTCAATGAGTTACTGAGAGTACAAAGGTTATGTAACTTGTCTAAGGTCACAAAGTTATTAAAGGACAGAGTCAGGTTCCAACAAGGCCTGCCTTTGTCAAGGGTCATGTTCTTCACTGTTGTGTAACACTAAGGAGTCGTGGAAATATACGAAGTGTCTGGCATATAGGATTTGCTTATTAAATGGTTGCTATTTTTATCTTTGCTTTGGCTTACCACTCGCTTAATAAATTATGACCCAAAATCTGTCTTAATTTTTTTATAGAACAGGAGCCAAGTGGTAATGCAATTGGAACCAGAGAAAGGTCCCGGGTTTGTATTCTGGGACTTCCCTGCATATAATGAGGGGGTACACATGTGTGCCTGCACCCCAGGCTGGGTGAGATAGGGGGCAGATCATGGCATGGGGACCTTATTGGGGTGCCTGTTTCTCTCTGTCTTGTGAAGGAAATAAATAACTTTGGAAAATGTTAAAGAGCACAACCAATGTCTGCTCTGTGAGGTTTTTATAGACTCATTTATCCATCAATACCTTTATATGCCACTTTATCTCATAAAATATCCTTTGCAAGTGGAAATATCCCTCTCCCCTTTCTTCTTTCCTTCCAGACTCTGAAGCATTTGCTTAGGAAATGGGAGATTAGGAGAGGGAGATCCTTCTCCCTGCTCTCAAATTAATCCTTTTGCTTCCTCTTTCTTACCCTTTTAGAGATTCCTAATGCTGGGATTAGGAGAGGGTGGGAGGGTCAGCAAGGCCTTTTACTTGGTTCTGAGACCCCTGGGCTCCTTTCATAGACCACGGCTGAAGCCTTCCCCCCAAGTCCTTCCAAACTGGCTTCTCTTTCCTTATGGGCTCCGGACTGGCCTCAGCAGAATTGTCTCTGCTTCTTGTGTTTATTTCTGTCGCCCGGTGACCAAGGCCACAACCACATGTGTCGCTTGTGCTGAGGGCCTTTACACCAGTCTACATGAGGTGCTCTCACTCAGAGACCAAGTTAGCAAACAGAGCCTTCTGCCCCCACGCTTTTGGTTTTGGCGCAGCGAGTAAAATGCACCAAAAGCAGGGGCTCTGGCTGCTGCACAAGCTGCAGCCAAACCTCAGTTCAGGAAGGAGCCATGTTCAATACCCACATTCAGAATGCTGGTGCATGTGTGCATGGCACGGCCATGTGGCATACTGGGAACAGGGCACTTGGGACCCAATAGGTCTGCGTTTGTGCCCCTCCCTGGCTCTGGAAGGAAAATTCCAGGGATTCTGCATCTCCCAGTCCCACTTGTTAGGAGCAGATGAGTCCCTGCTCTGCAGGGTTCGCTGGGACTAGATGTGTGAAATCACCACCGCCTGCAGTACCAGGCACATAGTAGGTGCTCAGTACATGGCAATTCTGTGTCCTGTCCCCAGTGGGGACAAATCAGCAACAAGGGCTTTGTCAGAGCATGTGTCCTCGTTAGCATGTGGAGGAGCTGCACTGTATCTGTCCCTCTGCGATCTCTGATGTGCTCCTCTGTCAGTGGAGTTTGGCAACATCCAGAGAACAAAGCACAGACAGAGCCAGGACTGAGCACCCTGCCAAAGCCTTGGGGCACCTCAAAACCAGGAGGGCAGGGCTCACCTGAGAACAAAGCTGGAAACTTTTGCCCCAGGAGCCTGGCAGCAGGCCGGGGTGGGATGAGGAGGAAGGCAGGGACTAGAGGAGGAGGCTGTCCCTGTCAGCCAATTGCTGCCATGTATCACATTTCTGATCATTTGAGGGAAGCCATGAAGTTTCATATGAAATTGTTTAGAAACTCTTTTTTCCTTTTTAAACACTGAGTGGACCTCAAGGTGTCGGCCTAATATTATACGCCTATCTGCTCGGTGTGACCCTTGATCCTGTCCAGGATGCCACCTCTGAGCTATCTTCTTCCCTTCTCTGTCCCCTGTTGATCGTGTTGCAAATTCCTTAAAATGGCAAACACTTCACACCTGGCTTTTGTTACTGATGTGCACTGGGGCAGGCTGGCATTTCCAGCCAGTTTCCTTTCTCCCCCCTTACCTTGGTATATCTTCTCTCTTTCCAGGAATCACTGGGCCTGTGTTCATGGACTCCCAGGGAGAAAGGCACATGAATTACTCCATCTATGCCTTGCAGAAATCTGGAAATCGGTCCCTTTTTCTTCCATTTCTTCATTATGACAGCTGTCAGAAAGTAATCAGGTATCAGCAAGACATTTCAGCAAGTTCAGGCTATGGTATAGGAAGGCAGAGAATGGCTGGCGGTCTTGCTGGGAGGCCAGTTTGGGATCCACTCCTAAAAGCCCCCTGCAAGTAGTGTGGTGCTCTCGGAACTCATAAGGATCAACTCTGGGTCCTCAAGATGGTTTAAACTGTGGGCACGGCTTAACTGTTTTGGATTCCAGTATAGAACATAGCATTTCCTACCTGTACCTCCATAGAGGACTGGGCCTCCTCTGATGCTCCAGCCAGGACTGGTCCCTTTTGGTGGGTGGTCTTGTAAGAGGCTTGGGGCCTGGGGTGGTAGAGGATGCATAGGGAGTGGTAGGTTGATGAAGCCCAGCACTCCCAAAAGAGATTGGTCCACAGTCCGTGAAAATAGTTCATCTAGACCGCCTAACTCTGAAACAGAGAGATGTATGGACATTAGGACCCTAGGGCCATTCTGGGTCTCCAGTCCTCAGGAATCTTTGGGGAACTCTCTGCTTTTGTTCTCTTATCTACAAATCAATGATGAACCAAAAATAAAACTAAAATTTAATTCAATTTCTACTTGCCCCCTCTACCACTAACCCAATCCAGATATATATTTTTTGGAGAGGTTTTTGCTATAGGGCGCGTGTGCTCACCAGAAAGTCAGAGAGAGACAGAGAGATAGAAAGCAAAAAATTACCCCCCAGGGGCGATGGCCACAGCGCAATCCCTTCTCCTCCGTTCTCCTCTCAGGATTTTGGGCACACACGCGCCTGGCATGAGTTTAAGCCTCCAGGTCCGGGACTCAAATCGCGGTTGACTTCATGGGACTTCAGCGACATAGCCATTATGCTAACTGCTGTTCCCAACCCAATCCAGATTTGATTTTATTCCAGACTTTTAAATCCAAAAATAGACACTATATTTAAATCAAAAGATCGAGACAGCTATTCCACCTGCTAAAAGATACTGCTTTCCATTTATTTGATTACCTGAAGGCTGGATTTGAAGCATCTAGGAGAAGCAGGAAAATTGGACAGGTCAACAGAAATTTGAATTAAGAGACCGAGATCTAATTTTTGCAAATAACATGTGTGTTTCAGTTTCCTGTACTATACAGGAAGTAGAGACAATGGAAGAAAAAGAAATTGAGTGAACACTACTTTTATTTTTTTTTAAGACCCACAGAGCATTTCTCCACTTTTACTTGGCTCCATGGCTTTCTTCCTGAAGACAGATCTGGCTGTGGATTTGATAATGAACTCTGTGAAACTGGGCCTGCTTTTACAGGTAAGTATGGCTATTGGAGAAGCAGTAGGGGAAGATTATGGCAGAGGTTTTCCAAACGCGTTATGGCAGAGTTTCTCAATAGCAGCAGCACTCTTGACATTTGGGGCTGGATAATCTTTGTGTGGGGGGAACTGTTGTGTACGTTGTAGGTGTTTGGCAGAATCCCTACCATCTACACACTAGATGCATAGTTTCCAGGCATTGCCGGATATCCCCTAGGGGACAACATCCTCTACCTCCCCTGTAGAGAAGCACTGCTCCAAGGAAACCTATCTCCTGAGACTGGATTCTCAAAAACTTTATTTCTAGGGAGGTAGAAAGAGTCTGGGCAGGAGATTATAGCTCACAGTAGTTAGGGGCCTGTCCCAGAATCACAAGGATCATACCTGGAAAATAACCCTAAAGAGAGGATGTGGTAAATGTTTAATAACATTCTTCACAGGAAATATTTATACAAAGGGAGAGGTGAGTATGGTTGTCATGGGAACTGCAGGGGTATTCAGGGAAGGATTCCTGGAAGAGACAAGTCTAAGGGGATTCAGGTATCCTCCCCTGGACCACGCCCAGGCAGCCAATTCTTAGGCAGATATGAGCAACGCCTTGTCTCTGCTCCTAGGTGTGACTGCTTTGATTCTCACGATGACACTCCTGGTTTCTGTCCTGGGAGCTGGCATCATAGGTCTGATTTTAAGGATGCAGAGGGCAAAACTGCAGAGGCAAGATAAAGACACCTGGTGGCAAATCAATTATGACAACATCACTGTTCTGCCCCCAAACAAGGTGAGGCCACACACGACTCTTTTGTCCACTTTCCTACCATGGCTGATGATTCTAAAAGGGCGCTTATGAGAGAGGCTGACTCATTTATAAAGCAAGCACTTGGCAGAGTCTTGAGGCTTGAGTTCTCATTCTAGGCTTCCTATTTACTTGCTGAATATCTCTGAGAACATCATTTCATCTTCCTGAGACTCAACTTTTTAATACTTCAAAATGATCAATGGTCTCAGAAGTTCCCTTCAGGTCCGTTACTCTGTGGGTAGGAACTACACCCTGCTCAAATGTTAACTGTCTCCTAGGGAATATTTACTTATTTTCAAAACCACATTAACTCAGGGCCAGCAGGTGGCGTGGTAGTTAAGGTACTGGACTCCCACATGCCCGACCATAGTTTAAGTCGAGACCTGGTGGCTTGCTTTCTCACTTTCTCTCTCTCTCTCCCAATCATCCCCTATAGCAAATTAAAATAAATAATTCTTTATTTTGAAACACTAACTCTTTTTTAAAGAATTATTTTATTATTTTTTAAAATTTGCTATAGAGCACATGCACTCACAAGAGAGAGATAGAGAGGGCGAGAATGAGAAAGCAGGTCACCAGGTTTGGGACTCGAACCACAGTTGGCCATATGGGAGTCTAGTGCCCCAACCATCATGCCACTAACTGATTCCCACATTAACTCCTTTAGTCTGATGATGAGCACAATTAAGATTTGTTTTCTCAACAAATACTTGTTGACCATCAACTGTGCAATGTATAGGGATACCCCACTACAAAATGCCTTCAGGGGGAGGCGAATGGTGTCTGCAAGGTGAGAAAGAAGCCCTGCAGGTGGACAGACTAATGGTCTCAGCATCATGAAGGCTTCAGAGAAGAGGTGACATTTGGGAAGAGTGAGTTTGCTAGTGATGACAAGGAGAGAAATAACATGGACACAGGACATGCCAAGATGTGATGTGCTTAGGAATGGGAAGCCGGGCTGGTACCAAGTCAGGGGACTTCAGAATGCTAAGCCTAGGAAAGTTGGATTCCTTAGTAAGTCACTTCCAAATGTCCTAGGGGTTCTGAACCTTCCTCTCTCCTCAGCAGCACAAGCAGTTCTGCTCTGATCTATCTGATTCTACATTATGGTTCCAGATAAGATTTTCCTTGAAAAACAGAGCTTCTGTGCTCTGAGGATGTTCTTTAGATGTTGGGAGAAACAACTGATGCTGGAGGTATTAAACAGAGAGTAACCTGCTTAGACATTCATTTGGAAAATTACTTAGCCCAGGTCATACACTCAGGTAAGTTTCTGAGTTGGGATTTGCATCTTTGCAGTCTGGATTCAGAGCCTATCCTCAACTCCACCGTCCATGGTAGTTCAGATGCCAGGAGTAATACATGTAGCAGACAGGCACTCATACTTTGGGTCAGAGAGATCGGCTCAAGCCCTGACTCTCCCATTTACCATATGACCTTGCTGCTCAGTTTCTTTATCTATAAAACACAAGCTCCCTGACACTTGCCATGGTGCTGACAGCAGTTGTGTCCTGTTTTACAGCCATCCCAGAGAGGCACTCCTGTGTCAAGAGGCAACAGCAGCAATGCGTCTAGTGTGATTTCTGCAGACCTCAGCTCCTTTGCCAAGAGCCAGCAGTGGGAGGAGCTCTTTCACGTCCCAGTAGGGCTTTACCAGGTACTTCTGAGGGCAAGGGCTACATGAAGGTCTTAGTGTGTGTCTCTGTCCTGTTCTCTGCATGAGCAAAAGCCAAGGCAGTCTAGTGACTCCAGACAGGTACTTCTCAAACTTTAATGGGACTCTTGTATTGTTTTAAGGATTTCTTTCTTGAGAGAGAGAGAGAGAGAGAGAGAAAGAGAGAGACACCAGAGCAACAAGGTCTTCATGTGATCCACTCCTGGCCTGGATCATGGGCATATACAAGGATCCCTCAGAATGCAAACTCAGGACTTCTCCTTGTGACCTCAGTCCCACGGTGCTGCATTACCACTGCACCACTGCAGCTGGTTGGGGCTCTTGTTAAAAATGCAGATTAAGTGTCAGTAGGTCTGCAGTGGCACCTGAGATTCTGCATTTTTTAAAGTTTATTTCTTTTGTGAGAATGTGAGGGGGAGAGAGAGAGAGAGAAAGAGAGAGAGTGAGAGAGAGAGAGCACTCAACAGGTCCTTCATGCTCTGATCCACCCGAGCTAGCCTAAATCACAGACACACGTGCCTGGCGTAAATGGGGAGGCCTGGGCATATGAACCCAGAACCTTTCCCATGCAGGTCCAGTTGCATAACTGCTGCACCATCACTTGACTCCGAGAGTCTGCATTTTTTTTTTTAAATAACCAGAGGACATGTGTACTCACCAGAGAGACAGGGGTGGGGGGGGAGGGAAGAAAGCACCTCCTCCATGGAGTGTTCTCATGTCGCAATCCTTTCTTTACCATTTCTCCATCCTGTTGGGATTTTGGGCACACACACACACACACACACACACACATACAGTGTGGCTTTTTACAAAGATTTATTTAATTTTATTTATTATTAAAAATTTTAGTATTAAAATTATAAAATTTTATAAAATAAAATAAAATTTTATTTTATTTATTATTATTACTATTTTTTAACTTGCTATAGGACATGTGCAGCTTATCAGAGAGAGACAAAAAAGAGAGGGGAGCCGCCAGGTCCAGGACTCAAACCACAGTCATTCATGTGGGAGTCCAGCACCTTAACCACCATGTCACCTGCTGGCTCCAGTTCTGTGTGTTTTTTAAGCTGCTAGGGCTCGGATTCAGTCGGCCATGTGGGATCTGGCTTCCTTAAGTACTAGGCTATGGACTAGCCTGAGAGAGTCATTTCTTTTTTTCTTTTTTGGAGAGGTTTTTGCTATAGGGCGCATGTGCTCACCAGACAGGGAGAGACAGAGAGACAGAAAGCGAGAAACCACCCCCCAGCGGAGATGGCCACGCCACAATCCCTTCTCCTCCATTCTCCTCTCGGGATCTTGGGGACACACGCACACGCGCCCAGCGTGAGTTTTAAGCTACCAGGTCCGTAACGCAAACCACGGTCGACTACATGGGAGTCCAGCAACATAGCCATTACACTAACTGCTGGTCCCCCGAGAGAGTCATTTCTAACAAGCTCCCAGGTGACTCCTATGCTGGCTTTTAGATCAGACTCAACTTTGTAAACTAAAATTTTCTGTTATAATGGAAATAGGCCAGATTTGCACTGCTGAATCTGGTAGCTGCTAGTCTCATGTGACTATCTAACATGAGTGTGCCTGGGGAACTGAATTCTAAATATGATTTAATTTTAATTTATTAAAAATTTTAATAGCCCCACATGGCTATGGCTCTTTTACTGGACAGCACAGCCGATTAATGCACAGCATGGATGATTGCATGGATTCTGGTCCTTCTGCAGTGCAATCATTAGCAACTGCTAATGCCTGGGACATCATTCCCACCTGTCCTTTCCCACCCTCCCCTCCATGCCCCAGGCCATTATACCAGCCTGTGCTTAGCAATCTTTTGGAAATTCAAGTCCCCTGGGAAAAAATTATGAAAGGGAAAGAAGTCTATATTTATTCTTTAAAATAGAGGTCCTGGAGAGTAGGGCAGAAAACTTCAAGCAATCCGTTGCTCTAAATTGGGGTTAGGAAAGACTAGGCCCAGTTCATTTACTAGGCTACTGAACTTATTATATTTTTCTAAATATTTACATACTGGAGTTTTCAAACTACATAAACCTCTTGAGGCCACCATTTGTGCAAAACTGCCCATTTGGAGAAGGGAACCAGCAATCCATAGCATATCACTATCTGATTAACCTTCCTAAAATGTGCCTGAACCCAGATTGATATTACTTTATTTTTTAAAAAAACAAATATTTCTTTCTTTAGAAAGAGAGAGAGAGTGAAAGAGAAGGAGCAAGACCCCAGTGGGGTCTTCACACTTGTGATCCACCAGCAACGTCAGCCAGTTAGGATCATTAGGCATGGGCGTGCATGCCCGGTGTGTACAGGGTAGGAACCTGGGACTGTCCCATGTAACTTCAGCATCACAGAATGTTGCATTACGGCTGGGCCAAGATTGGTGTTACTTTTGACCTCGTTTTACAGATGAGGAAATGGAGACTTGGAGAAGTTAATCCCTAAAAGGTTGCTTACATAGTGAGTAGTAAAACTGGGCTTTGAAGCAGGCATGTGACTCCAGACTTACACTTAGGACCTCAATTCATGATTTCCTCTGAATGATAATGGGACGTTATTGTATAACAGAAAGAGTATGGTCTCAGAATCAGATGTTCAAATCCTGCCTGAACTACCTACAAATGTGCAGTCTTGGACAAGTTACCTAACCTCAGTGATTTCACCTGGAAAAGGACTAGTCATATGTATCTTGCAGGGCTCTGACCGCAGTTACGTGAGTTCATATATGTTAAGCATCTGGCTCAGTGCCTGGACACAGCACCGTGATTCCAAAGGGGTTGATCTGGGCGCCAAGGAGCTTGATGATCTCTGTCATAGGTGGATTTCATGCCAGTCTTTCTGCTCCCCTCCCTAGCCCTTTCTGAGTAGAGCTTTTTCTGGGTCACCTGAGTTAAGAGTATTCCTCTCTATCTCTGGTTCCAGGGAAACCATGTGGCCATCCGTTATGTTGGAGACCAAGCAGAAGCCTGGGTTAGGAGGCCCACTGTGCTGCAGGAAATCCGGCTGGTGAGACCCCACCCTGAAGGAGCGGGGAAAGCAGTGCTGCACGCTGCCCCATGTCATTTGCCAGCTCTGTGTTCCCAGCCTTAAGGAGTAGCCTCCACCCAAAAGAAGCAATGGTGGGAGGTTGTTTTCCTTAACTTGATCCACCATCCCTAACCCCAACAGTCCAGGCTTTAGACTTCAGACCCCTTGGCCTGGCCCAGGTACCTGAAGCTTATCTCTGCTTTTTCCTTTAATTCTTCCTGACCTTAATTCTGGTCTTTCATCCTCTGTGTCTGTGATGGCTGCTTACCTGCCTTGAACCTGGTCCTTGGAGGGAGTTAGGTTCCTGGGTCTGACTTCCTTCCATATCTCTGACCTCTTGTGGTCCATACACTGGCATAGATAGCAATAAAGAAACCAGCAGGGCTGGTTCTATTTCCTGGGGTGTATTTAATTAATCCCAAAGCTAAGGTTAGACTTTGATCATTCTTCTGGTTTATTTGCTGGAGAGAGACTTCCTGGGTTTACCTTCCAGTTCTGTAAGTTGTATAATCTTTGACAAATGACTTTAGCTGTTGTGCCATCAGCTCCCTCATCTGTAAAATGTGAGCAGTAATAGTTCTTATCTTACAAGTGCTTTGTGAGAATGAACCGGAAGGATGTAAAGCTCATAGCACAGTCACTGGCACAGAGATACCCTCTCTACCTGAGTTGTTATTGCCATATGATTTCCAGATGTGTGAATTACGGCATGAAAACGTTGTTCCCTTCTTTGGCATTTGCCCAGAACCACCTAACATCTGCATTGTCACCCAGTATTGCAAAAAAGGAAGCCTTAAGGTAAGCAAAATAGTAGATCTTACCTCAGCTTTGATTAGCTACAGCTAATAAAGAACCTTATCAATGCTTTTCTCCTGTTCCTCATGAAGTTTCTCTCTGGTCTAATTGTAAGACCTGAGTTATCATATTAGGCTGCCTGCTAAGGATCAAGTTGCCAAGTGTCTGGTTTCCTTTAACCTGGGTAAAAACTGAGCTTGAGTTCTTTTCCTGAGATGTTATGGCTACTCCTGTGTTGTTTCTGGGCCCATCCTACCCATGTTATATGGCCATTGGAGTTATGTCATGAAGAAGGAAGTGTTTGCAGAACTCAAGATTGTCCTTTTTCAATATTAAAAAAGTCTGGTTATGGTATCCTGGGCAGATTTCCAGTTAATTAACCCCACTTTGTATTAGTTCTGACCAATACTGATCAAATATATTCGAGTAAAATCTGTTCAATGTATGAAACTCACTATGCTTCAGGTTGAGTCACTGATATTATTTTTAATAACTATTTTTTAGGACATCTTGAGAAACTCAGAGCATGAAATAGATTGGATATTCAAACTCTCATTTGCATATGACATTGTCAATGTAAGTATAATGTAAAGTTATACTAAATACCATAGTGTTTTTGTGTTGTTTTATGTCTCGAATTAAATTGAACTATAATCTTTCCTGAAAATTTTGGTTCTCTTCAGACCTTCTCTTCAAACAAAGTTTGATTCCAGCTCTAAATTCTACTATTTCAGTCAAGTTTTCCATTCTTTTCTCCTTCCCGATTGCAAGTAAATACAGAGAGAGGAAAGTATTTTACACTAACATTGAAATGGATGCTAGGCTTACCCAATCAGAAATGAGCAGGACACTTCCATCTGAAGGCAGAACTTTATTCCAAAGAGAACCTAATAATTAGACAATGACTTGAGCTAGGGCAGGGGATTTCAAATACTTCTTCCTTCTCTCTAGTTTCTGATTTCATTCCTCAGAAAGTGGGGATCAGTGCCATAGCCACTACGCTGCTGACCCAAGAGGTAGGTTAGTGATGCGGACCTGAGAAGGTCTATAAGCAGGCCAAATCTCCACTTTGGGCACATGGGCTGTGGAGGCTGCAAAAAAGGGAAGAAGAAGAAGAGTAGCGATAATATATATAGTACCTACTTCTGGTCAGGCACTTTCTAGTACTTTGTATATGTTAACTCATTTAATCTCACAACAAAACATAAGGTAGATATTATTGCTCCTATTTTGCAGATGAGAAAATGAAGCACAGGAAGTTCATTTAACTTGCCCCAAATCTTACAGTAACTACAGAGTGAAGTTAGATTTTTAAATCTAGGCACTTTTTTTTTTTTTGAGAGGTTTTTGCTATAGGGCGGGTGCGCTCGCCAGACAGACAGAGAGAGATAGAGACACAGAAAGCAAGAAATCACCCCCCAGGAGGGATGGCCATGCTGCAATCCCTTCTCTTCCATTCTCCTCTCAGGATCTTGGGCATGCATGCACATGTGCTCGGAGTGAGTTTAAGCTACCAGATCTGGGACTCGAACCACGGTTGACTACATGGGAGTCCAGCGACATAGCCATTATGTTAACTGCTGGTCCCAAATCTAGGCACTTTTGAGTGTTGCACACCACAGCCCCCACACCCCCCCCTCGTTTTTATTTTTTCTAAGAGATTTTTGCTACAGGGCATGTGTGATCTCAAGAGAGACAAAGAGACAGGGAGAAATCACCCCTGAGGGGCCTGGCCATGCTGCAATCCCTTCTTTTCCACTCTTCTCCTGGGGTTTTGGTCATGTATGCACATATGCCCATGCCCACCATGAGTTTTAAGCCACCAGGTCCAGGACTCGAACTATGTTCAATTATGTGGGAGTCCAACAACATAGCCATTATACCATTTGCTGGTCTCCCCAAACTATAGATTACTATTTGTATTTTGCAACAGGGAGAAGTAAATCTCATGTCTACAAGCCCAATACGGACTGACAGGGGAAATTTGATGAAAAGTAGAGGCCTATTTCTACCTGTCACTGTGAAGGCATGTGGGCGGTGGTGGGGAGGGGAGGTTGAAAAATGGCAGCTAGATCTGAAAGTCCAAGATGACTCATTGCCTCAAAGGGCCATCACCTAGGGATGCAGCTGGCAATAAGAGATGGAGGTGGAAGAAATGGAGCTGACCAGTTAAGCTGTAGAGTGGCCATTTTAGTGTAAAACAGCATCCAAAGACTGTTCTGTTTAACCTGGGCTTAATCCAGCTGTTACTTATAAAGCTTGCTACATATCCCTTCACTGTCAGGAGGGACCATGAATAAGGAATGCATTCTGGTAAAGAATTCCCTCAGCCTGACATATAGGCAGAAGGGCAAGAGCTGGTCATCAACTATCAGTCAACAGTCCAGCCAATAGTCGATATGCCCATCCGTCAACCAACTGATCCCTGTTGGGAAGAAGAGCCTGCCTGGGTGTTGTGAGCTGGAAAGGTGAACCATAAACTCTGCTCTCCTGGAGTGTTGGGGTAATGATTCACTGAGTGACTTTGCCAGGTCATTACCTCTCTCTGGATTTGACTTTTATGTAGAGATAATGAAGGATCTTGGCTTGATTGACATAGAACGGCTTTCCTTTCTCAGGGATTTTATTGCTCACCTTTAAGGAGCCAAGTTTTATGGCTTTGTGAGATTGATTTCCTAGGATTTTGTATGAAGCCAGCATATTGTTACCAAGCCAGATAGACTGACAGAGCATCTCTATAGTTGAGTATCCATGAACGACACTGAGCCACTACTATTAGTACTTCATTAAAATTTTATTTATCACACTTTCTTTCTCTCTGTCTCTCTGGTGGGTGCAGATGCTCTGTAGCAAAAATATCTCTAAAAGGAAAAAAAAATATTGATCATCTGTTAAGGGTTTATCCTACTCTAGGCCCTTTTGTAGGAAGTTAAAAAACGTGCTTTCAGCTTTGAATGGTTTAAAATCTAACTAGAAAAAAAAAGTGTAGGGACCAGCAGTTAATGCAATGCCTATGTCACAGGACTCCCATGTTGTCGACCGCAGTTCGAGTACCGGTGGCTTAAACTCACGCCGGGCACGTGTGTGTGCGTGCCCAAGATTCCGAGAGGAGAATAGAGGAGAAGGGATTGCGGCATGGCCATCCTCCCTGGGGGTGAGTTCGCACTTTCTGTCTCTCTGTCTCTCTTTGTCTTTCTGGCAAGCGCATGCACTCTATAGCGAAAACCTCTCCAAAAAAAGGAAAGAAAAAAAGTGTAAAGATATACATACCTAATTATTTATTTATTGTTTACATTCAATTACTGTGTAACATTATAGTATGCCAAATGAATTTTCCCATCATATACTGCATATCTATCCAGATAAAATTATTTAAGTGACAGTGGATGACTGTAAAGTGGGAGGATCTGACAAGGAACCCTTTCCTACTCTGGAATTTTCTCCCCTTCCTTTCCTCACTTTTCTCTTCCCTTCCTACCAAGCCCAGACAAGTACTCTAGAGTCCAATTTCCTGTCTCCTGCTCCAATCAAAACTACTGACATCATTTATACTGGATGTGAAGAGCAATCTAGTAAATAAGTTCTCACCAACGTATAAATAACTAATGTGGCTTTTTTCAGTGTAGGAACTTGACTTTCAAGAGGCATTAACTCAAATGTTTCTTTGGAGAAATACTGAGGCAGGGCACAATGGCACTTTGAAGGGGAAAGTCTCTCTAGTATTCAATACTTACTCTAGTTCACCCCATGCCAGAAGAATGGAGGAAGCTTGGCATCTTACTTTGGAAGGATCAATGCCTCCTGAAATGGAGTGTGCACATTATGGAATCATGTAAGGAAGTGACTGATGGATGACACAACAGGGTAGATAAAGTCACATGTAGGTCCTTCAAGTCCAATTACTTTGCTAACATTGTTTGAAAGGGGACTGAGAGTAACAGAAATGTATCTGTCCTCTTAGAGCTTTGCCATGGGTTTGGGCACTGGAGTGTGCTCAGTGGGTCAGATTGTGCTTTTGGTTGTCACATACCAGTCATAAGTACAAGTCTTCTCCCTATGACTATTTGATCAGAACCTCCTCTGAGCAAGTATCAGGAAGATTTGGAGATGTTACAGACTTTTCAAGTGAAAAAAGGATATGTAAATTAAGCACCAAGGACCAGCAGATGGTGTAATGGTTATGTCACTGGACTCCCATGTAATCGACTGCAGTTCAAGACCCATACTTGGTGGCTTAAAACTCATGCTGGGCACATGTATGTGCCCAAAATCCCAAGAGGAGGATGGAGGGGAAGGGATTGTGGTGTGGCCATGCCCTCTGGGGGTGATTTCTCTCTTTCTGTCTCTCTGTCTCTTTAGCGAGCACACGTGCCCTATAGCAAAAATCTTTCTTAAAAAAAAAAAAAAGAGTAAAATAAATTGAGCACCTAGTTTGGGTCAGACCCACTTCTATGCATGAAAGGCACAGAGTAATAAGTAAGGCTCATTGTCCTGTGCCCAAGGAGCTCAACTCAATGGCACAAGCATGGGAAAGAGATTTGGAGTGTGTACTCTTCATGACTTAGGGATAAGCCTTCATTTCTAAGTAAGAAAAGGCTTGATGGATTAAGAAAATGAAGGGAAGTTTGGCATAAAAGTTATCTTGGGGGTTTTAATCCTGATTCTGCTACATACTGGCCAGGTGACATTAACCACCCTGTCTTTGTTTTCTCATGTATAAAATAAAGATAATAATATCTATCTCAAAGGATTGGTATGAGAATTAACAGATGTAAGGTATTTAGTACCATGCTTACCCCAAAACATGTGACCAATAACTGGTCACAGTCTGAGCTTGCTACATATATGTTTACCATCAGAAAGGACTGAGACAATGACCAGGGAGTGAGTTCTGGTGAGGAAGCCCCTCAGTCTGACAGGCACCCAATCAGGCTCTTCTCCCACCACAAGAGTATGTTGACTGATAGATGGGGATGCTCACTGATGGTTGGACTGCTGACTGACTGTTGATGACTAGTCCTTGCCCTGCTGCCCACATGTCAGGCTCAGGGACTTCCTTACCAGAACTCACTCCCTGCTTTTTGTCTTGGTCTCTCCTGATGGTAAAGAGATATGCCCCAGACTTAGAACAGCTGGTTTTAGCTCAGGTTGAGAAAAACAGGCTATGGATGCCGATCCATTCTGACAGGGCCACTCCACAGCTACACTGCTCAATTCCACACCTTCCCCCCACCTCATCACCAGCCACATCCCAGTGACTGGAAGTGTAGCTAGTCCAAATCAAGATGAGGAAGGACATTTAGAAGAAAAATTCGGAGGCAAAACATTAATGGGACAAAGAAATGTGGTATTATCTGTTGAAGATATTTTATAGTTTAATCAACTGGACTAGGGAGAAATGTTCACATGTTGAAATACTCACTTTGTAAGCTAAAAAATGTGATTGAATGTATAAAAAAAGTGAAATAAAAAAAGAAAAGACAATAGTTGTCAATAAGGTCTGGTGATATAGCTAAAAAAAAAAAAGATGTGCTATAAGCATAAAATTCCCCCCAGATTTTTAAGACAGTACAAAA